TTCTGCCCATAGATGGAATTTGAAGCAACTTTTGCTTGGTGCATAGAAGATGAACACTATATCTTCTTGTTTCTTGTATGCTCTCCTCTTTCACAATGTATATAGCATTTGAGTACATAAAGAGGGAAATTTTGGATGCTAGGTAACTAGAGCAAAATTTCTCAATCGCTCTTTTCGAACTATTATGTCGTTGCAAATATATTTGTTGTTTTAACTACTTTAAACAAAATACCCCTTTTTTCCTCTACAAATATAAACATATCTACCATGTCTCTATCTGTTTGTGTAATGTTGGAAAAGTACCATAGATCTCCATCGGTTTAAAAATAATACTAGAACTTCATATGCTAAGCATGCTTACAAGAATGGAGCTGCCCCCATCGAGTGGGCGAGTTTGGCGTGAAACGTGCACGCTAGCCAGCCCACTTGCGCTCTTAAATAGTTAATGGTGATGGGGAGGGCCAAGAGCACCATAAATCTCTATCCGTGTCGCATGATTACTTTAAGAAATACTTCGCTTAGGTAGTTAGATTTTGAAATAATTCAGTGATTGCTCCCATCAATTATTATGCTTTGGATTTGAAAAGATCGGACGGGGGGCTATTTTTTTTTGTTATAATCGCCTATTATTTAATTGATGATTGATGCAATTCGACTTTTAGAGTAACAAGTGAGGACGAACGTAATACACAAAGATATAATACGTGGTCAAGTGATTAAAACAACTCTCTTCGCTATATATCCTTTAATGGTAGAGGGTCGAATTTAGATTTGGAGCAACTTAATTAGAATGAAGGGATGTAACACGGAGCACATGAAAAATGTTGTTGAATGAAATATTCAATCAAAACGGTAGCTGACTATATGGACTAATTTGAATGACTAGTAGTATCTGAGAAGCTAAATAGCAGTTCAAGAGACTAATTTTCAATATTATTGAATGTTTAAGGAACCAATATCAGGGCGGGGGAATCTTTTCGTCATGTAGGGAATTTAAAAGAATAATTAAAACTAATTTCAGCCACCCTCTAAACTTTGTGTATTCCACTTAACCCTCCAAAGTTTGCGTGTCTCGCTTAATTCCCTAAACTTTGAAGTCCTTCCACCAACCATATGACATTACTCGTGTTGAAATGACCAAAGTATCTTTTTTGTAAAACAACCCAAACGTTAGCCACAGACGCATCCCCTAAAAAAAATGAGGGGTAGTTCTGTCATTCTCTATCATAAGCTTGGCATGTGATCAGTCAAAGTTCACGGTGTTTGGATGGACAACAAGTGAGACAATCAGAGAGTTTGAAATAAACAAACTTCCAAGGGGTCGTGTGCACAACCGAAACTAGTTCACTCAAGTATCATGTGTTCTGTACGCTCGTGTGGTGATTAAATTAGGGGTTTTTGTCTTTGTACTCAAAGTTTTACCCTGATTTATGTTTACGCTTAAGTATTTTTATTTGTACTTTTAAACCTAAGGAGGTGTTTGTTTCAACTTTTTTTTTTTTTTTTTGATAAAGGGTGGATTACAAATTCTAGGATGAAAAAGTGGGATTTTTTTGAGTTTTTGGATTCCATAACATTTGTTTGTTTCAAAACAAAATTTTGGATATTAGATCACCAAATTATTAAAAAAAACTATTATTTTTTTAGCATTTATGAAATCCTCTGTTTGAGAGAGGATATCAAGTGAACCTCTGACAAAATGAGTCCACGTCGTCAAACTCTTTTGTGAAATCTCGAAATATCACAAACCCTCCCAACCTTAGAGTCACCGCTGCCATATTTGCTTCCCTCCTCTTTTACCCGTCTCCTCCATTACCCTCTACCCAACCCTAATGTTCTTTATCGCTTTTCAACATATTTCGACCGAATCTTAGCCGTCTCCTCCATTTCCGTTGTATCTTTGTTTTGCAAGACTATCTGAAGGGCAAATGTGAAATTATTTTGAGGATTTTGTTGATTGAATGTTTCTAGGGCTCCAGGCGATTCTTTCAAATCGCGCAAGTAAATCTCACACCTCCTCTTCTCTAATTTGAATTTCGATTGCTTCGATTTGTGTTAGTGTATTCTAGGGTTTCAACTGTCGGTTTATGTTAGGGTTTTCTAGGGTTTCACCTGCCGATTTGGGTTGCTTTTGATCATGGTTATTTGGCTTGATTCACCCCGCAAATAGGTGAGATGTATTGACTTTCGTTTTAGTGTGCTAGATGCTTGGTTGCTAGATGCTTGCTGGGTTTGAACTGGTCCATGAATCTTCATCTAGGATGGAGCGTGTGTTCTTAATAATCAAAGCATGTTCAGTTTATTATTGTTAATCATATAAAAAAACTTATTTCTTGGAGCTTTTAGATTTACTTGTAGATCTGTGATAGGGCATGTTTTAGTTTTTATTCATCAGACTTGCGTGCTTTCATAAGAAAAATAATGTAAGATTGCGTTGAAATTCCTATACTATTTTAGGACTTTATTTTGCTCTTAGTTTCTAGGTACTTGTAAGATTGTGTTTATCTGTTTTATGTGTTTATTAAGGTTAATTTCACTTAACTCCTTGAACATTGTTGATTACAGTTTACTATTTGAGCACTTTGTTAAAGATTGATGCATAGTATTTTTACAGGAATTTTCTGTTTAAAACAATATAGATGGACGACATTGATGAAGAAATGTTAATGATGATGGCTTCTAATGCTACTATCTCTGCGGTCATTTGTGTGTTTGCTTGTTTAATGAGGATACGTGATAGAAGAAAACCAATCACTTATCAACCTAAGGTGGGAAAAAAGAGAAGATAGATTCTAGAGCTAGTAACATAAGTCGTGTGTTCAATGGCTGTAATGAGAATTATAGGGCTTATGTTAGAATGAGGCCGCGTGTATTTGAATAACTTATTAGAATAATGAGATATACCGGCCTACTAAAAGATTCACGGGGTATTAAAGTAGAAGAACAATTGCTCATGTTCCTTCATATATTCGGCCATAAAACAAAAAATAGAATTTTTAGGTCACATTTCATAAGATCGGGGGAAACCGTTTCAAGATACGTTAACAAGTGCTTAGAAGTTGTTGGTCATTTAAGGGGGCAGTACATGAAGCAAGCACCAAATGAAGTATCATCAGAGATTGCCACCAACCCGTTATACTATCTTTATTTTAAGGTAATCACTACGATAATATAACTACTTATAATATAACACTTAATCTTACCTTTCTATTATTAATAACTGTTTAATATATCATATAAGATTACATTGGCATGATAGATGGAACCCATATTGACGCCATGCTTCCCGCTAGACTTGTTGCACATTTTAAAGATCGTAAATGTGTAACTCAAAATGTCCTAACTTCATACACTCCCAACAAGTTATTTTCATATGTTCTAGCTAGATGCACTACAAGAAATTACATCTTTAACGAAGGGAATTCCCTTCGTTAAAGAGCTGAAAACCTTCGTTAATGTATGATAACGACGGGAAAAAATCCCTTCGTCACCCGTCGTTGAAGCCCTCTTCGCTAAAGGGTCGCGAAGGGATATACTACCCGTCGTTATAGAGTCTATAACGACGGAACATATTACTGTCGTTAATATTTACGACGGTAATTATCACCGTCGTTACTATCAGTGACGGGAATATTTTCCCGTCGTTACCATCAGTGACGGGATATTTTCCCATCGTTACCATCAGTTACGGGGATATTTTCCCGTCGTTATCATTAGTTACGAGATTATTTTCTCATCGTTAAAGACTAATTAATGACGGTTGAATACCGTCGTAAAAGTCCTCATAATGGGTAATTAGTAACCCATTAACGACGGTGCTTTTCCTTCGTTGATGAACAAAATACGGTTTATAAAACCGTCATTGTAGACTACAAATTTCTAATATACATTAATAATAATTTTTCCATTCATAGGCAACTATCATATTATTCTCAACCTCACACTAAGATTCACAACACAAATATATTAAAAATACCCAATAATGAATAAAAAGGAAAATAAAAAAAAAAAAATCACATAATTAAGAAATATCAATTAAGCAAATATTATCTTATTAAGTAAAATTCACATTTTTTAGAGCAAGTAGTCAATCATAAAAGTATATAAGAGATTTTACAAAAAATAATTACCTAGTCCTGCACATGTTCTCGAGTTTGAGGAGTCAATGCGGGTGACCAACAAGAAATGGTAGGCCCAAAATAGGAAGAATGAAAGATACGCCAAATGCATCAATCGCAAGTAAAAGACCTTGACGAATGATGTTAAAATGTTCAAACCTGAAGAACACAAAGGATATAGTCATATAATTTCATCATCGCTAAATGTAAATTGAAGACCATTAGTCTTCAGGTAGGGGGCATAAAGCTTAGTTTAAATTAGACATTTCATAGACAACAAAGGATCCAGTAACCAAAAATTATATAATGTTCAAGCTTTTATGTAGTTCAACAATTGGAAATAAGACAACACACCCGATAAATGCTGCACCATAACGCAGACCATCAAAAGCACACCTGCAAAACATATATGATGAAATAGCGCAGTATAAATATATGTATAAATATATATAGTTGAATGCAGAAACATATTGCAACTGTATGTGTATAACAAAGATGTATACAAACTACAAGAAGATTAACTAACTTTAATTCTGGAAATGTACTTTACAAGAAGTGGCCTAGAGCCTATTCAACTGATACAATCTCTAAAAAGTAAAATGCTTACTTAAAAAGATAGCAAAGTTACTAGTGTCTAGTGTAAAAAAATAAACAAACTGCAAGAAGGCTCCACTGTGTTATGTTGACGGGACCTGTGAAGAACACTCCAGTATTGCCCTTTGTGATGTCTTTCAAAAGTGAAGCATCTTCATCTAGACAAAGTAGTCGTTCCCTGAGAAAGTGGGGTCCAAGATTATTAGGAGATAGGCTGCAGTCTTTGCAAGTACATTGGTTTCAATCACTTAGATGTAAT